GTGAGTGTTGAGATGTAACAAGAGCTAATCCTTTTTGCAGTGGGATGTAGCCTGGAAACTGCACAGAGCTGAGCCAAGGGATTTAAAGGGACCTGTAAGGAATTGGCTATAGAACAGGACTTGCCTAGGCCATGAGAAAATCTGAGATAGGGAAGCTACAGTGTCTTTGTGCCTGCTAGTTGGCTGGTAAACAGGCTGTTGTGATTAGCAAAACAAAGGCAACTGAGAGCCACCTGTGTCAACATAAGAAAGGACTAAGCGGGGGAATCAACATTTAAGCCAGAGCCAATAATGAGCTTAGCTTTTGCAATATGTATGAGCTAATTATAAAGCATATATTAAGCTGTTAGCAATGATCAATAAACGAAGGTTGCTGATTCTCATATTGAGTGTGACTTTCTTCCCTCCTCGTGACAGGGACCAACCAAGGGAGGTGAAGAAAGAAGGAAGAAGGGAAGTGAGGCAGCAGTCAAGCAGCACCAATTGCCTGTGTAAGCAGGTGAGTTATCTTGAAATTCCTAAGGCAGGCACTGAGGACTTTGAGGGCTCCAGACAGAGCAGAGCTGCAAAGGCCCTCGGTGAAGCCCCTTGGAAACCTTCTAAGGGTAGGTGTGTATGGTAGTAAGTGTTGGAAAATGCCCTGAATGTGGAACAGGAATGTAGAGAACAAAAATGAATCCTCCTGTCATGCTGCCATATCAGGTGCAGTGGAGATAGCTCTGTGTGCCCTTTGGGAGCTGATTGCCAGGACACCAGACGGGCTGGAATGATTCAAGAGCATAGGAATAAAAGGTTGCCTGGCTTCTAAACCTCACCAGCTGTATCTTAGAGGCTTCTTTGAAGAGCTGTTTTCAGGCAGCAGAATTGGCCCTGCAGGAGGGACTCTGTGCCTGCTCTCCCGTGGCTCCAAGGGATCTCTGGCCCTTCACGCCGGCACTGAGATTTTCTCGGGAAGGGCCTCAGATCCCCGGACCAGTCTGGGACACAGGCAAGATCCCCCTGCATTTTGGGACCAAATTGGGCCCCCTGGAGGGACAGTGCTGTTGGTGCCCCCCGGGTTGGGGCACCCCGAGGACTCCAGCGCGCACCGAAAGGATTATTCGGGGAGATCCTCGGGGTGCCCGGCCCTGGGGAGCTCAAAGCAAGGTCCCTGCAGTGGATTCAGGCATTGCTGAGAGTATCCCAGGTGTAGCTGTCCATGCTAGACATGGAGCTCTCTAATGGCCTGTAATTGGGTTGTAAAAGTGGTGCTCCAACTGCAAAGGAAGTGTGGGATTGGGGTTAAGAAATGAGCAGTGATGGTCCAATTGGCTTTTTTCCCTTGAATGTAATGGTAAGAGCTGCAGGAGTGCCAGGTGTGTGTTCCATTTCCCAGCATTTGGTTTGCACGTGTCCTGGTCAGACACAGGTCCAACTTCCTCAGTCCTTAACACAAGAGAAGGAGAATTAAGGACTGGCAGTGTTCAGGTGATTGGTGTGACAGGGGTTGAACTGGGAAAACATTGGGGAATTCCTCAGTTTGTCTCTTTGCCAAACTCAGCCAAACCTGTGCTAGGAAGAGATTGAGTGGAGAAGTTGAGGCAGAAATGAAATGGAAAACTGGGGATATTGAAACAGTAATTGCTGGAACTAAATGTGTCAAAGCAGCAGCTCTTGTTGTGCAGGGAATAACTCCTGTCAGCAGCAAGGTCCCGACTGAAGTGGCAGCTGCAGTTGTTCCTGTGGTGTGGGCCAGTGGAGTTCCAGGAGAGTGGAAGAGGGCAGAACCTGTAGGTATTACCCCTGATGTGGGATCTCTATGGGTAAGGCAAAGCCAGTATCCTTTAAAATCAGAATTCCAGCTTGGATTGGTTGCAGTAACAGCTAAATTGGCTCATCCTGGTTTGCTTGTAGGATGTGAATGCAAGAACCTGCCAAGAAAAGCAATGGCCAAGATGATTGATGAGTGCAGGACCTGAGAGATCCACCTTGAATGACAATCTCGAGGAGTTTCCAGTATTGGATTTAAAAGATGGCCTTTGCTGCATCTCCTTGAGCAAGGAAAGCCAAAAAACCTTTGCTTTTGAAGGAGAAAATCTGGAAAGCAGGAAAGGAAGAAAAGAAGCCACCTGACTCCTCCCTGAGCCCCAGACAGCACATGAACTGCCTTCCTGGGAATGGTAGGACAGGGTGGACTCTGGATTGCTCCCTCTGGATGTGTGGGAAGACTGTTATACCAGCTTTTAAGAACAGCCTGTAAGCATTTGCTGCCTTGGCTAGATGGTGCAAGGGCAGCCTTTAAGCAGCTAAAGCATTCCCTGAGGAGAACTCTGGGTCTGCCAGATCTCTCAAAACTGTTGGAAGCATCTTTGGTGGGGAGGGCAAACAAAGGACAAGGTGTGCAGTGCCCCCCCTGACAAGGGACTTTGAGTTAATGGGATCCCTGCAAATGAACTTTGTGGGCTGTTCATCCTGTAGGCAGGTGATAGTCCCAGCTACAGTGATGGGGAAAAATGGGTAAAAGAGAGCCCCAAAAGCTGGAAATCCTCCTGGAGGCTCTTAGCAAAGAGAGTTTCCTGAGTTGCCCCTGAAAGAAGGATAGTGACAGCTTTTGAGTGCTGGTAGATGCTTTTAATAGATAACCTTGAGTGTGTCCTTGTTGCACCAGTAGGCCTTGTCCAAGTCCCCATATTCCAGGAGATATACCTATTGAAGTTTAAAATGATGTCCATAATCCTTTGTTGGCTTGAGGCTCTCCCCTCAGGAACTGCAGGAACTCCTGGTGCCGCCTGGGCCGATGGATTGGACGCCCCAGCCCCTCCGTTCCTGCCCAGCCACTGGGGCCGTGTCCAGTGGTGGCACTGCCAGCCCTGCAGGTGAAGTGGGAAGGGCCTTTCCAGGTCTTGTGGGTCACATCTATAGCACCTAAAGTTTTCAGAAAGAGGATGTTGAGTCTCTTCTTCTTGAGTTCAGAAAGCTCCTTTTGGTTGGTGAGCAGAACAAAGTGGATCCTTCAGAGTTCCCATCCGTGTTTGTGTCTCAGCCTGTGTTATGATTCAGGACTGTAGCTGTTGTTGTCACTGAGGAGTCAAACTCTGCTTTAAATCATGAGACACTGGCCTAATGGCCAAGTGTTAAGAAAAAAGTGGGAATGATATGTGAGTGTTGAGATGTAACAAGAGCTAATCCTTTTTGCAGTGGGATGTAGCCTGGAAACTGCACCGAGCTGAGCCAAGGGACTTAAAGGGACCACCCAAGGGAGGTGAAGAAAGAAGGAAGAAGGGAAGTGAGGCAGCAGCCAAGCAGCACCAAGTGCCTGTGTAAGCAGGTGAGTTCTCTTGAAATTCCTAAGGCAGGCACTGAGGACTTTGAGGGCTCCAGACAGAGCAGAGCTGTGAAGGCCCTCGGTGAAGCCCCTTGGAAACCTTCTAAGGGTAGGTGTGTATGGTAGTAAGTGCTGGAAAATGTCCTGAAGGTGGAACAGGAATGCAGGGAAGGAAAATGAACCCTCGTGTAATGCTGACCCCTCCCATCAGCTGCAGTGGAGATACCTGTGTGTGCCCTTTGGGAGCTGATTGCCAGGACACCCGGTGGGTTGGGATCATGGCAGGGTGTTGTAAGCAAGGAATACCTGACTTCTAAACCTCACCAGCTGAATCTTAGAGGCTTCTTTGAAGAGCTGAGTTCAGGCAGCAGAATTGGCCCTGCAGGAGGGACTCTGTGCCTGCTCTCCCGTGGCTCCAAGGGATCTCTGGCCCTTCACGCCGGCACCGAGATTTTCTCGGGAAGGGCCTCAGATCCCCGGACCAGTCTGGGACACAGGCAAGATCCCCCTGCATTTTGGGACCAAATTGGGCCCCCCTGGAGGGACAGTGCTGTTGGTGCCCCCCGGGTTAGGGCACCCCAAGGACTCCAGCGCGCACCGAAAAGATTATTCGGGGAGATCCTTGGTGTGCCCGACCCTGGGGAGCTCAAAGCAAAGGAAGTGTGGGATTGGGATTAAGAAACGAGCAGTGATGGTCCAATTGGCTGTTTTCTCTTGAATGTAATGGTAAGAGCTGCAGGAGTGCCAGGTGTGTGTTCCAGTCCCCAGCATTTGGTTTGCACATGTCCTGGTCAGACACAGGTCCAACTTCCTCAGTCCTTAACACAAGAGAAGGAGAATTAAGGACTGGCAGTGTTAAGGTGACTGGTGTGACAGGGGTTAAACTGGGAAAAACAAACTGGGGAATTGCTCAGTTTCCCTATTTGCCAAACTCAGCCAAACCTGTGCTAGGAAGAGATGGCCTGGAGTCTCTGATCTCCTGAGTAGTTCTTCTGCATGATCTGGGAGCCTCTGGGATTAGACTGGACTGGGCAGACAGGGAGCAGTTTGTCCTGTGGAGTTGGGCTGGGTTTGTTCAGGATGCCTTGGGAGGCAGGGCTGGGGAGGCTCCTCTGTTGGCTGTAGTGGTGGAAGGTTGTAGCAGGAGGGATGGAGCCTTCGACCTCCTGCTCCCCCCGTGAGCCCCGACGGGCCCGTGCCCTTGGCAATGGAGGGCCCCCATTGCTGAGCCAGCGGTTCCGGGGGCCAGGAGGGATGGGATCAGGATGCCGAGCTCCACCCAGGGCCAGGGCTGCAAATGTTGTAACCATGGAGGGAACTGAAAGCAGAGTGAGATGGAGGCCAAGCTCCAGCAGAAGGATGGGTGAGAAAAGACCGTGGTCCTCAGGTGGAGCTTTGAATTCCCTGGAAAAATGGATCCTGTCAGACGGTTCAGGCCCTGGTGGGTGCTGGAGCAGAGGCCTCTAATTTATGGTCACCCTAAAAAGTTGCAAGGGCAGCAAGTTTTGACTGCAGGATGAGGTGGGAAACCAAGTGAAGTGGTCCAGAGAAAAGCTGAGCTTCAAACTGGTCCTGTGCCAGAGCAGCCTTGTGCAGTGCTTGTTGCTGTCCCTGAGTGTCCCATTGCAGTGGATATTTCCAAGGGCTGCCTTGTGCTGGGGAACACTGAGGGCAGTTCCCTTTCCCTGGGCACGTTTCCCCCCCTCGGGTGGCTCCACAGTCCCACCCTCTGCCCTGGGAGTGTGGCAGAACACCTGGACCCACTGTCCTTGTCAGAGAGGGGACAAGGGAGGGTTGGATGGGTGAGGGAATGGTTCAGGGAGTACAAGCACCATTAGAGTGAGTAGTGCAGCACGTGGAAAGAATGGGTGGGAGTTAATCCAGACAGAATTCAAGCACCTCCCCAACCTGTGATATTTTTAGGAACTCAGTGGTGCTGTGGTCCCCAGGAAGTGTTGCCCAGGACTAGGCAAGTGACTTGAGGCTTTGTCACCCCCAGAGCAAGGTGGAAGCCCAGCAGTTTATTGGTTTGTTTGGCTTTTGGTGACAAGAAGGTCCTCCTTTGGGACCAATCCTTGGCCTGTGCCATAAAGTCCCAGGGCAGAAGTGTGAGTTTGAGTGGGAAATGAGCAGCCAGGAGGGTTGGAAACAGCTCAGGGAGCAATTCAACAGGCTCTGGACCTGTGGCCAATATGAGCCAGAGAGGGGGAACTGAAGGTTCCTGCCAGTGCTAATGATGTCCCTTGGAGCCTCTGGCAGAAGTAGGGTAATGTAAGGGGGGAACTTTTGAATGAGATGATCAATGGAGCATAGAGGTGTGAGAAAGAAATCCTATTAGGATGTGAAACCGGCTCGAGTCTGGTACAATGTAACTTGATGGCACAAGCTGATTGTAAGGTCCATTGTGCTTTTCAGCAAGCCAGCCTGATATCCCCTGTTCTGAGAGCTGAGTTCTTCCTTGGTTCTGCTACATATTGCCAGATAGATACCTTTGCCCTTGAAACACAAGGGTAGAGGTCATACCCAGGGGTGAGAAAGATGATGGTGAGAGGAAGATGATGTGGGCAGGGGTCACTGGCCCCTTGCCCTCCCAGTAGGGCAGGCCCAGACTGTTGCCATCAGGCAATGCTCAGGCGGGGTTTGGCTGCCATTCAGGCCTCCCCTTACACTGCGTCCTGGCCCTACGGGGTGTAACGTGGAGCTGATAAAAAGGGGCTGTCAGGACTGCTGAGCTGAGCGATCCTCATCCTGCCACCCAGCCTGTGCTGCTCCGCGGGGACGCCCGCCAAGGGATGGGCACCGACCAGCTGCTGAGATCCTGACAGCCCTGCCTGTCTGGGGGGTGGGCAGAGTTTAGTGATGGGAAGCCACCGAGAAGGAAGACTTTAAATATCCTTTAGTGTTCCTTTAATACCTTTTATTTAGTATTCATAATATTTTCCCTTTAATTTCCCCTTTTACTAACCAAATAGCGTGTTAATAGTGATCCATAATATTGTGTTAAGATCCTTTTTGGTATCCCTTTGACTCCCTTTTTACTAGTTAATATTACACTGTATTGAATGCTGTTCTTAGTATTTGTTTTAATGCCACATGCTAAGGTAGTTCATTTGTATCCTTTTTTAACTTTTGATTCTCTTTGCTAAGTTTATTATTATTATTATTATTATTCTCACTGCAATAAAGATATTTTGTGTGTTTGAATGTTTGTGGCACTTGTCTTTATTCCGGGCATGTATCCCAACGAACTGTTCCAGGTAGGAAGGAAGTGCCCTCAGGATTTGGGAATAGGAAGTTACTGGAAGCCAGCCCAAGATAGACCCTGTTGGAGAAGTGGCTCTGAGTATGTTATTGGGCTTTAGTGGGAACAACAAATGATAAGAGGGCCTGAAATCCCCCTAAGGCCTTGGGTAAAAAGCTCCTCCAGGGTGCACAGGCCAGGCCATGCTCAGGAAGGCAGCACCATGGAATGGAGATGGTGGATCCAAGGCAGAGCCAGAGCAGGGGTCGGGGCAGGAGCGAGGCCTCGGGAGGGAGTTGCCAACGGCCCTGTGGTTGAAGCAGCAAGTGTAGATCCCCTGGACAGTGAGCACAAATCACTGGGGAAATGGGGAAAAGCCCCAAAGCAAGTGCTGGGAGAAGAGAGGGAGCATGCATGGCTCACTGCTGGGTCAGCCAAATCTATCAGTGGGAAGCACTTTTGGAAAGCAGGAGCATCTAACCTGTGCCAGAGTCACGACGGGGGGAGGCAAAAGTAGTCCATGTGCTGAGTGAGACACTGTACCTGTGGGAATTAAAGAGGAAGAACTAGGGCAGTGTCAGGTTTGTAGGGATTTGGGGTCAGTTGGCAGTGGTTTGGCTGCTTGGCTCTCAAGTGACACCCTCACGGAATTAGTGATTAAATGCAGACAAGGAAGATGGGAATATATTCCTGTGAATAAATGTTAGTGGAGGTAATGATATTCCCATGTTTTAGCTTGCTATCTTACAGAAACTCTGGATCCTGGCCATCCTCAGAGCCCTCGTGGTCCCTCTGGGCGATGCTGTTGGCCCGGGCAGTGCCCTGGAAAAGGTGCCTGGGTCGGGTGACTTGGTTTGATTTGGATGGAGATGGAAAAGCAGCTCCAAAACAGGCCCCCAGGACAAGGTGACCTGGGAAGCAAATGGCCCTTGCCCAGGGGTCAGTCTGACTTTGTGCCCGGGGGCACTCTGTGGAAGGGCCGGGGTCTGTCGGGCTCATTGTGTGGGCAGCTGTTGGTGCCCTCAGTGGGATTGGATGGATGTGATTCCAGGGGCTGGGAGCACTGTTGCCATGCAGTGCTGTAGTTTCCCTTACGGTGCTGGGTCCGGGGGGTCTCCCTGGCATCGTTGTCCCCCTGTGTGAGCGGTGCCAGTCCCAGCCACAGTGTCACAGCAGCAGGGCTGTCCCCTGGGCTCTGCCTGCTGGGCTGTTCTGGGTCAGTGCTGTCAAAAGAGCAAAGGGATCAGCTTGGGCAGGGGATGGCACAGTTGGGCATCATCCTCCGGAGGAGAATATTGGTCCAACTGTTGGGCAGTAATTTATGAACTGGGCTGAGTGCACATGCCACAGTGTGTATTGTAATACAAAGCAATAAGGCACAGAATGACTTAATGGGTACCAAAGAACTGATCTGGAGGACAGTATTCACACCCTGGATTGCAAAAATTAACTGGATTTTGTCTCCTGAATTGCTGCAGTGCCCCGACTGATCTCGTGCTGGAAAAATAACACACTTCAATGTAAGTAAACCAGGGATTTTTGTGTGTAAGTGCAAATGATTGCCCTGCAAATTTGAAATAAGACTTGACTTGATCACCAAATGCAAACAGGAAATATGGGGGTCAATTAGTGTCCTTTGGGCATCAGGTTAGAACAACTCACTGCTCCCCACTGGTGGGACATATTTACAGGATTCTCACCACCTGCTACAAAGTTTTTGAACACTTTAATCCATCCAGTAATCCCAGTAATTATTGTACTGACTTTATGAACAACAGAGTTGCTGTCTCTGGGATCAATGACAGGAAGGTGCTTCTCCCGTGTCTCTGCCCTGCCCAGGGATCAAAGGAGCAAAGGAAAGGATGAGAAGTTGGCTGAGAATTGAGCCCCGGGGCTTCTGGCCCTGAGGAGCAGGGTAAAAGGGCTGTGTGTGCTCAGGGGCCCTGGCTAAAGGCTGCAGGTGCAGTGGGTGTGTGCTGGGCCAAGGCAGCCAAGGTGTGTGCAGCTGTTCCGTGCCCTCCAGCCTTGGCCCCGCCGGGGCGCCTGCCCAGCGCTCCAGGGGTGGCCAACGGGGAGCTCACGGAACCTGCCCGTGCCCACGGCCCCACAGTGCCAGGCCTGGCCTAAAGCCGGCTTTGTTGGGCACAGCCTGGCCAGCGGGACCCCCTTGGAGCCGCCCCGCAGCCTCCCCTGGGGTGGAGGCACCCGCAGGAATTGTCCCGGTGCCGGAGCCTGCGGGATCGGCTGCCCCGGGGCTGCCGTGTGGGCTGGGGGGGAGCGGAGGGGGCCGTGGGGGAGGCATTTCTGCTGAGCCACAGTTCTGTCTCTGGGGCACTCAGGATGGGATGCCTTGCTCCTTTCCTGTTGTATCCCCTAAATCTGTATCCCAGGTGTTGGATTGGGTTTGTTTAAGCTGTTCCTATTATTCCATGACTGGTGGGAAGTTGCTTCCTGCAGTGCCCTGTCTGTCAGCAAAACACCAGGCCCAAAGGATCCTGGCAAGTGCAGCACTGGAAGAGTCAGGAAGACTCAAAAATGCACCAGTTCTCAGGAAGCACAACTTTGTAAAACATTGATGAAGCTAAAATTCCCCAGCATTGAACTGTTGGGTCCCAAATGATATTGGAGGGAGAGGCAGAAAATGCCACTGGTGCTGGGGCTGAACTGTGCAGTGACTGGGCAGGACTTGGCCCTGCTGCCTGAGAGCATCTTTCGGATGGATCCCAACTGTCAGCCCCTGGCTCCATAACTTGAGTAGATGGTGTTCCTGCAAGCCCAGCTGCTGTGTTGGTGGTGCTGTGGGCACCTCTGGCCCTGGCCTGCTGTGAATGTGTTTGTGTTGCAGCTCAATAAAGTCCCTTTCAGTGGTGATTGTGTCATTTTTGTGTCAGTTGCTCTCAGTTCCTGTCCCCTCTTCCCCTGCCCCAGTGGCTGCATCACTGCCTTGTGCCTAAAGGAACTCTTCCCCTGCAGCAGTTCCCTGCTGCTCTCAGAGAGGGTGGAGTTGAGGCCCCTGAGGAAAGGGAAAAAGGATCCATCCAAGGCAGGCCCGTGCTCACCCCCTGCATTCCTCCAGCCTCCCATGTTTACAGTTCCCCTCCCTGCTGGACCCATAGCCTGTTCCCAAACAACCCCTGTTCCTGTTCTCTCTCTGTGTCTCCCCTCCCAACTCCCCTCCTCTAATCTCCAGCTGCCCAGGCCCCTGTTTTTGAGGGGCATTCCTGGGCTGCTGTCCCCCCCTTCTTTATAAATGAAGTGCCAAGAGCCCCAGGTGCAGAGAGGTCTGCAGGGAATCAGTGCCAAGAGCTGCCTGTGCCTGCCTGTGTTCCTGCAGTTCTCCTTCCTGTTCTCCCCTGGGCTGGAGAGACCTGCCTGCCCTGTGTTTATTGGAGCAGAGGGATGGGATTAAATTTGTCCAGAAGGTTTGTTCACAGACACTTGTTTTCTGCCAGGCAGTGCCATTTTCCTTTTGCCTTTCCCAAGTTTTTCCAAGTGCTGCCCAGCACGGGGATCCGTGTGCTGGGACAGTGATTGGCAGGAGGAAGGGGAGCCTTGGCCTCACCTGCCCAGCTCAGGTGGGTGGCAGAGAATTGGGGTGGGCTGGCAAGGCATGAACATATTTCTGAGTTCTGGAGTGCCTTGAATCCTCTCCCTGTCAGCTTCCTCTCCCTCATTTCCTGGGCTCCAGCATCCCAGGTGTCTCTTCCTTTGCCCAAAGTCCAGTGGTAGAGGATTGACTAACTACCTAGGGGGGTTTGGAATGAAGAAAGTTCTGTTCAAATGGGGCAAGGAATGCAGTGAGAAAGATGAGCCTCCTTTTAGTGCCTGAAGTAGAGAGGAATAAAGATGCTGGAAAAGGCCACGTTTCATTTGTTGTCCCCCCTGGATTTTTCATGGCTCAAACTCTCCAGTGAGCAATTGAAGAGAAGGGTGAAGGGCAGGAGCCTTTGACTTGCCCAGTGCCCTTAATTGCCTTGTTCTCCTCTCTTCCAGGCCAGGCCAAAGCCCTGATCCAGCCCAGCTCTGCCAAGTGCCCTGGGCTGGGAGCAGCCAAAGGCAAGAGGCTGCAGCCCCGCCGGCCGGGCTGGGGGCTCCTGGTGCTGCCCGTGGGGTGGGGTAAGTCAGAGGGACACCTTTCTCTCCTCCTGGTGTTGGTATTTGCTCCCTGGGCACTGGATGTGTAAGGAAGGACGGAGTACCAGGGAAGGGGAGTATTTCCAAACTGTCTGAATGTTGTCCCCAGGTTTGGGATGGAGCAGCCATGGGGGTGGTTGGGTTTGGCCTGGGCCGGTCAGGGTCAGCCAGAAACGACCTACCAGACCCCTGAACCCTCACTGGACATGTCCAGCCCCTCAAGTCATTAATTTTCAACAGAGGACAAGCAAGTGTTGGTACTTGCTTCTGATCTGTGGA